GGTCCAGATGAGGGCCACCCGGATGATCCGGGGACAACAGGGCAGACCCTACAATGAGAGACTGCGGGACCTGAACCTGTTCAGCCTTCACAAGCGAAGTCTGAGGGGGGACGTGGTGACTGTCTATAAACTCACTAGGGGGGACCAGAAGGGTTTGGAAGAGACCTTGTTTCCCCTAGCGCCCCCTGGCATAAAAAGGAGTAACGGCCACAAGTTGTTGGAGAGTAGGTTTAGATTAGACATCCGTAAGAACTACTTCACAGTCAGGGCGGCTAGGATCTGGTACCAACTTCCAAGGGAAGTGGTGCTGGCTCCTACCCTGGGGGTCTTTAAGAGGAGGCTTGATGCCTACCTAGCTGGGATCATTTGAGCCCAGTTTTTTCTCCTGCCCAGGCAGGGGGTCAGACTTGAAGATCTACAAGGTCCCTTTCAACCCTACTTCTATGATTCTATGATTCTATGATCTTATTTGCTGAAAAACCACCGTACACTGAAAAATATGCACATAAGGATGCAAATAAGTCTTCATGTTTACTTTATACTGTTCACTGTAACTTGCCAGTGAGTGAGTGTGAACTTGAAGCATTGCTTTATTTTGAGGCAAGCTTCATAAGCAAGTGCAGAGAGCAAACCCAAAAATGAGGCAGCACTGTGCATCTGTCTGACCAGCAGAGGTCCTTGACAACCTGTTTGGACCAGTTTGTGTCATGTGTCAGGAGTGTCCTGCGGCAAAGTACAGACACACGGAAGCAGACTGTGTTAAAATGTTTCTGAGCAAACTTCAGTCCTACTACCAGAAAACAGTGGGAGAGGATGGAGAAGACACAGCCAACTCCACCTGGAAAGGAGACGCTTGACACAGACTGTTCAAAGACTCCCCTGGGAAGGGAAGAGGACAGAAAGAAAAGGACAATGACACAACTGGACCCCAGGACAGTGAGGAAGACCACAACAGGCTCAGCAGCAGCAGCAGAAGTGACAGTGATATCGACAGAGACGAGGATAGGGAATGACTGAGAATGTAAACCCGAATTGGGGTTTGGACTACAGGACTGCGATTGGGTTAGGAAAGGGCAGTGGGTGGGTGCGTGCAGAGCCGGTCCAACCATTAGGCGAACTAGGCGGTCACCTAGGGTACCAAAATTTGAGGGGGCACCAAAATTATATGCAGAACAAAATAACAGGAACATTGTTTTAAATAGCAGCCCTGGCCAGCTACAGCTCCACCTTGGTCTAAGTCCTTTGGTTTGGTAAGGGGACAAAGCCCTCTGAAAAGATCTCAGAAGTAAAAGTTCATTCTAGACTTCTTATTTTCCTCTATATTGGAAGTGGGGGGGTGCCGAGGTGCACACTTTGCCTAGGATGCCAATTACCCTTGGCCCGGCTTTGGGTGTGGGGGGGTCGCGGGTTCGTTTGTTGTGATGGGTACACTGCTTCTTAATGTGGTTTAAGGTGTGTGATGGAAAGTTTTATGCTAGATGATGTATATATATCTATAAATATGTCACTATATCTATATGATATAGATATATATAGCTATGTATATATATCTATATCGATATATCTATATATAGATGTAGATTCCCCCCACCCCCAAAAAAAGAGCAAACCCAAAAGTCGGTCAAGACTCCCAGAGAGTGATTTGGGTTTTGCATTTGTTGCATCAGTGAGCTGCCTCAAAAATTATCGTACATTTTTCAGGGGGAAAAGGACAGTTTTCTTGCCATTTTCCAGTTGGTCTAATAAAAGGTATCATTTTGGAACCAAGAATTCTAGTTTGTACACTTTTACTATTAACCAACCTGCACGAGAGTGTTGAAACTCTGGTAACGATGATAACAACGGTCCGCCTGGCAACACCGCCACCAATGAACTCCCTGACATACGTCATGCTGCTCCGCCCCCAGCTGGGAGCGATTGGCTGGGGCTGGGCGGGGGCGTGGCTCAGCGCCCTCCCTTCCCCGCCCCTCTCGCACTCTAACTGAAGCGTTTGCTAACTGCCTGATGGCGACGAACGCGCCTGACGCTACGCGTTATAGGGGGCGGGGCCTCTCGGTCAGCCCCACCCCCTGCCTTCAAATCTCCCGCCTCCTAGCGCTCGGCTCGTGCCGCGCATTCGTATCTGCACTTTCAGTCCCGTCTGGTCTCTGCGGCGGGGCTTAGCCTTCTCCTCGGGCGGCTGGGCCACGTGGTAGCCGGGCCGCCGGTTTCACGTCCGGCAATCGTGGCTGTCCCTGCCGTTCCCCGCCTCCCCGGCCTGTAGCGAATGTGCGGGGCCGGCGCGGCCGCTAGCGCGGTTTGGGCGGTTGTCAGGGAGAAACAAGATGGCGGCGGCGGAGGAGGACACGGAGCTGCGGGACCTGCTGGTGCAGACACTGGAGAGCAGCGGGGTGCTCAACAAGATCAAGGTGCGCGGCGGGGGGTACGGAGCCGACTGGCCTCGCGGCGGGAATAGAGCCCGGCCCGGCGGCACCGGCGCAGCTTAGCCTGGGCCTGCGACCGTCGGTCCGAGCGAGGGACTGGGGCGGCCCCGGTCCTGGCACAGCCGGAGCCGGAGAGGCGTCTAGTAGGGGCAGGGGAAGGGTTGCGCTGAGCAAGACCCCAAGTCCGAGCCGTCCCTTTCTAGCCCGACCCAGAGAGCAGCGTTGTCAAGTCTTAAATATGAAATAATAGTCTTGGAAGATCACCATTCTCTCATTTGCGGAGAAATTAGCGTGTGCTGAAAAATAAATGCAAGTAAGTATGCAGATAAACCATTTTCTTATTGACTTCATGTTGCTCGCTGTGAGTGTCAGAGCTGGGTCATCAAAGTTGAGGTGTTTCCTTTTTTTGAGGTGAGCAGTCATCACGTGCTGACGGCAGACCCAAAACCTCCTACTTAGCTGCTGGAGTGGGAAGGTCTTGACTTCAAGCTCGCTTTATGGAAATGGGAGACTTCTCCCTGGCTTGCCTCTGGGGCTTTATGGCTGAGGGCAAGTAAAACTCAGGAGCATCTGAGTAAGTAGGATGGCCACCAAAGATTTTTGGAAACATCTGAAGCCCCAGATGGGGTTGGAGGATGTTTGCTGGTAGTAGGGCAGTTCTGCACTGATTCTCGGATTTGGAATTTGTTTTGATTAATTTGGCTTGGACTTTAAAATGGAAAATTTAAACAAAAAAAACAAAACTCCAGAAGTTGGTTAAGAAACCCCAAGTGTTACCTGGGTTTTGCACATGCTGCATCAATGAGCTGCCTCAACAATTATCATACAACTTGAACACTTACTGTTATTGATCCTACGTTGTACAGGGGTTGTAATTTGTACAAATATGATAATTATTGTACACTTGGCAACACTGACAAAGAGCTGTTCTGCAGCCCAGCTCAGGACCTTGTGTCACCAAATGAGCTGGGGCTGGGTTGTCAGAGGGGATTTATTCAGAGCTGTGATCTCTTTCCTGTCCCCAGAGTGACACCAGGTCCACTGGGACAGCCCTGTCAACACGAGGCATGGGGTGAATCCAGAGGCTTCCAGTAGGAACTCTTCCTCCCCCCCCAACCCCTGGTAAAAATGTACCACAGGGAGCCCACAACAGGGCAGGACAAGAACTGCTCTGTCATTTCTCTTCAGTCAAAGAACAAGTGGTGTTTTTCTGACAGGGGAGGCCTTATGTGTTGAGAGCTGCCTCCGAGCTTAAAAAAAGGTTGAGAGCTGCTGATTTGGAGGGAGGTGGACAGCTAGCAAAAGCTCAAGTTGACAAGCAAGTCAGGACAAGGGGGAGTTGTTAGTTTGAAAGGGCACTGGCAGGCTGTGCTGTGTGCCATGTTGCTAAGCAGAAGTCACCTGTTGATGCATTGCTGTCTGTGCCACTTCACATAACTGTTGCATCTTCAGCTTCATTTCTTGCATCGTATTGGTGGGTGAAAAGCACAGTTTGTAGATCCTACACAAGTAATCTGAACTGGGAGTAAGCTCAGTCTTTTGGTAGTTCTGGTGAAGCAATGTTGCTTCTCTTGGTCTCTTGACAGATTTTGGTAAACCTTTGTTTTAAGAACTGTTCAAAAGCAACCTGGTCACTTAAAACCCAAACTTGAAATGGAAGCCAGCTTAATGGGTATAAGGAGAAGGAATATTTTTATTTCCTGCCAAATGTCAAACAGTGATGCTCATTATATTATTTTCTCTAGTTTTAGTACATATTAATAGGTTTTGTTAAGGTGCCAAAGTTGAGGGAGAAAGTTATATCTTGACAGTGGTTGTTTATGTACCTCCAAATGAAATGCAAACTACTTTCTAAGAATGGGTGAAGGTAAAAACTAGGAAGCAAGCCCTAGAAGGATATTTGTTTAGTGTTATTTAGAGATTGATAAGAATAAATATGTAAGAAGATTATCTGTATATAGCCGTGATCTAGGTAAAGTAGACAATGTGAAATTGTCAAGAAGAAAAATATGGAGGGACTGAAATAGACCAATGAGCAATAGGTAGGACCTGTAACAGGCCTCCAGCAGTGCAGCCGAGGGAAATACAGGGCATTTGGGGTCATTGCTGGTCTGCTATGGTGACTTGTGGTGATAACTAAGTGAGATCTTAGTCCTACTATAGACTAAATGAGGTGGTAATAATCATTAGTGGTTTGGAAACTAGTTTTTCTTTTTTTTAGATGCATATGCCAAAGTACCCAGCATAGCTATAGATTATTGAACTGGAACATGCAAAGTCTCAATTGCTTTTTAAACCAGTTAATAACTGCTGAACATTGCTCAATGTATTTTACTTGTCTTTGAGCACAGCAGAATTGGGGTAAACCTTAATTTGGTAGTTGATAGCATACTTCCCTGCATGTAAATCAATATGTTGTCCACTTCCAGTTGATAAATTTTCTATTTCTTTGTCAACTGAACTAAATTATTAACAGAAATATTATCCATGAGAATAGGATTAGTCAACATTCAAAAATGGCCTGTAAATTGTTAACTACTGTTTAGATTTGGTAAGCATGTTCCTTTTTAAAAGTAGGTTCTTTGTATACATAATGATACTGAATGTTCTCCCACTGGTACTGGACATAGGAATGTGTCTCTGGGATGGAGCTCCTTTCAAGATCATTTTACTCTGATTTTAATTGGTTGGAAGTATCACTAATGACAAGGAGTTTCTTGTACTGGCTACCCTTTTTACCTCTAACAGTGATGGAGCAAGCCTTTCCTGTGATGGTATAAAACTTAACAGGCTCTTTGAAAAGTCAGTTGCATCAATTCAATCTAAAAAAAAGTGTGGGAAACTTATTGGGCAGTTGACATCTGGATTGCAGGAGCAAATTAAAAAGGAATGAAGCTGTATTAATTTTTACAGAAGACTTATTAAAACAACACTTTCAGAGCTCTCTTAAAGATTTCAAAAACTTAGGAAGTTTAAGATCTGATTTTGCTTTTACAGCTTCCTTCCATTTGTTGCAGTACATTTTTTAAATGCTAAAGTACAATCTTTTAAAATTCAGTCATCTGTCATAACGAGTGTATTTTACATGCCAGGATGCAGTCATCAACCTATTTCATCTGTTGTCACAGAAGCAACTTCAGAAAGACTGCTCACTTTGAACTGGAATAACTGTATAGAGAGACTTAATTTTTCCCCCCACAATAGATTTGTTTTTAAATAGTGCTACCTAAGCTTAGATTTCTTCCATTTCCACTTAAGTGCCAGAGAAAATCAAATGCACTACGCACTGGAATGTCCCTCTTAATCATACAAATCAATAACCATTTCTTAAAGCTTTTTCACTTCTAGTCAAATATAAAGTTTGGGATAACTTCAACTGGTGTTGCTGTTTCTTAACTCATTAAATATACCAGCTAGCTATTGATCCATTTAACTAGATGAGGACTTGTTAAAGGGGTGAAATTCTTAACCAGAAATGCATAGAACAAAATATTTGAAGGGTATGTGAACACTGAATGAAAGACAGGGGAAAGTGAAATATAATAAAGGAAGAGATTCCACTCTAGGTAAGCCTTTATTTTGAATGCTTAAGAAAAGATGCATGTAATTATAGTCCACTTAGATTTGTACAATGCATCCATAAGTTGTTAAACAAATTCTTGTTATAGTGGTATTTAAGGTTAAAACTTGAGAGATTTGATTTTTTTTTTTCCCTTTGTAAATGTGGTGACCACTAGATTAATTTGTGGATTTCATAATTAATCTTTACTTAAATTTCAATTTGGGCAAGTCGGTCCCAAGGCTGCTGTGACCATTACTCAACAGATGTACAGCTCATCAAAGTTGATCTCTACATTTCACAGTAGAATTGTAAACTAAGCATGGGGTTTCAAGGCCAGCTGAAGGAGTTGATTTTTTTTTGGCTCTCTTAAAACCTGCATACAAATTAGATGGCCAAACCTTTTGGCAGTTTGAAAGTCCCATCCTGAATATAGAAATGAGGCAATAGGCCATGCTGTTCAAAATCCTCTCCTTGTTGCGCCTGCTCTTTCAGATTAGATTTTTCTTTCCAAGTCATTGCATATTGCTTCAAATATATTAATTACACCAGAGTATATTGAACAATTTGTATTACTGTTAAGAAGCAGCTTTCAGTTTAAACAAATATGTGGTAGGTAGTTTGCTGCTTGTGTTCTGTTTGCGGGGGGGGGGGGGAAATAGTCCTTTAAGAAACACTGTCCTTTTTTTTTTTTATTTGGTAGGCAGAACTACGAGCAGCTGTATTTTTGGCGTTAGAAGAGCAAGAAAAAGTAGAGGTAAGGAGACCAATACCTTCTTTTTCAGCTTTTTATAATTGTTTTGTGAGTAGAAGAAGGTCCCAGGTAATGTGGGGCCCTTGCAGGACGCGTTGGGAAACTTGGTCGTCACACCAGATGACAAAGCTAACATGTTTAACGATTTCTTTGCCTCCGTCTTCCTAAGTAGGGACCAGAACAGCAACCTCCCAGCCGGGACCCCTTCGGGCCCCGGGGGTGGCACACCTGGGCCAAGGGTTAGCGAGGACTTAGTAAGGGAGCTTCTGGAGGGGCTGGACGTATTCAAGTCAGCCGGTCCGGATGATCTCCACCCTAGAGTTCTAAAGAAACTGGCCAAGGTCATTGCAGGTCCCCTGGCATGGCTTTACGAGCTCTCGTGGTGTACTGGAGAGGTGCCGGAGGACTGGAAGAGGGCCAGTGTGGTTCCAATCTTCAAAAAAGGGAGGAAGGAGGACCTGGGAAACTATAGGCCAGTTAGTCTTACCTCGATCCTAGGCAAGCTGTTTGAGAAAATAATTCTGGCACACATCCAGGAGGGGCCAGCAGGGGACTGCATGCTTAGGGGCAATCAGCA